GCTACCAGGCGACCCAGCTGAGGTAGCGTCTACCTCCACACAGGTTTCTGTTATCTCTGAGGCTGGGGAAAAGGAATGTTCAAACCTCACACCAGCTCTTGAATTTTCTCCTGTTATATTGGCTCACTGAATTATACCAATAAGTTTGGTAATTCAATTAAATTTCTTGAAAAATATAATTACTAAAGGCAGTAAGTGGAAGCTTTAGAAAATCCACATGGGCTAATATATGCTAATTATATTAAATCTATTCTTATGATATTTTTCACAAAGCAAGTTCATATTAGAGAATTATTCAAACTTAAAAGCAAAATTTAGCACAGATTTTCTTTGAACATTTTTTTTTGTGAATAAAGACATAGAAAGCAAATTTTAATTCATTTTTTGGGCCACCATATCTTTAATTCCAAAATCCAAAGACAATGACGTATGACAAAAGAAAATTAATGTCCTTTATGGGCATGAATGTAACTAGCAAACTGAATTTATTGTTTTATATATGTATATATATAAAAAATACAATTTGTGTTGTTCCAGTCATGTAAGGCTTATTTTAAAAAAATTTAAAAAAATCTAGCTATGCATGAATCATGTTTACACATTAATATATGTGGTAAATTAAAGCATTTGATAAAATTCCACAGAAAATAATATAAAAGATGGTAAACTACCAACACCTAGGAGTCTTATACTGAAAAACTCTTAATCTGAAAAGTACTATCTACAAAAATACTTAAAGTAAATATCATGCTCACTGATGAACTGTTAAACACATTCACCTTGAAAATGGGACAGAGGTAAGAATATCATGATTACTTCAATTCAGTATTGGAATCTGGAGGGTGAGACAGCACAACAAAGAAAGAAAAATAGATAAAATGGAGTAAATATTTGAATGAAAGAATAAAATACTCTTTAGGGGGACTAGTGGTGCTCTTAGAGATGCTGTATGTGGATGGAAAATTCTAAGGAATCCACAAAAAGTATAATTAGTAAGTGAACTTAACATAATCACTGAATGTAAAGTCAGTAGTATTTTGTTATTAATTTTTTACTGAGGTTGCACTGATTTCTACTGTTTCAGATTTAGCAAAAATAGATTCATACCTCTCCAGCTATGTCACCATACACACTCACTACCAAATCACATATAATGCTCCATCAAAGTTAGTACTTTAAAATCAGTTGAAGACTTCTAGATCTGAAATAATATTGAGTAAATATTCTCTGCACTCCTCCCACTAAGAACAGTGAAAAACAAACTTAGGAAAACGCTGAAAAGTAGAGAAAAGACAGGTTAGCTGAGACTTCAAGACAAGAGATGACATGATGGTGACTACCCTCATTTGACTTTTTCTGGTTTTCCTCCTATAAGTCTGAGTGGATTTTGGAGCAGACAGAAATCAATATCACCAGGCTAAACTACCTAAAAAAAAAAAAATCAGTTCTTTCTAGTCAAAATTCAAGAAATGATACAGTCCATCAAGATGGAAAACTTCAAGACAACAAATTCTTATGCCAATATAACACCATCCAGCAAGATGCAGCGTAACTTCATCCATGCTGTCAAAGACTAAGGAGAAAGCCTAGATTTTCAACCTCCCAGCAGTAACAATATCCTCTCCACTGGTTCTCTTACAGAGTATGTAGCAAAGGAGCAGTTTTCTATTAAATGTACTGTGAATGAGATTGCTCTATTTCTTTTTCAACTGTTGCAATTGTCATGTATAGAAATGCAGCTGATTTCTCTGTGTTGATTTTGTATCATGGAGCTCTTCTGAATTTCTTGATTAGTTCTAACAGGTTTTGGGTGGAGTAGTTAGGTTTTTCTGTAAAGAGCACATCCTCTGCAAACAAAGATAATTTTTCCCCACCCTTTCTAATTTAGAGGCTTTAGATTTTTTTTTAATTATCCAGTTGCTGTGTAGGAATCTGTTTAATTGCAGTGGTCAAAGGAGGTAACTTGTCTCATTCCCGCTTTAAGAGAATGAACTTTAATATTTTGTCCATTCACTTTATTACAAGGCTTATTTTTAGGAAGACAAATGTATCAAAAACCTAGACTCTTCTGTTTTTAAGGTGGAAATTGGATTTACTCTCCCATCAGAAATGACTTAAAAACATAACATTCACAAAGCAACAATTCTCCAACCTTGTACATCAGGCAATGAAGGACAATGACCCCCAAGGCAAAAAACAACAACAACAACAACAACAACAAAAAACCCACAAATAAAGTTATTCCTAAAATTGCCCAGTTTTTTGCTATCAGAGAGTTTTCAGAGTGCAGAACAGAGAAGAGAAACCTAAACAAAATTCCATGAATCCCCTTAATTGAGGAGATGAAGCTGAGGCTCTAGTGAGACTGGGCAGCTAGTCTTCATGGGACAGAATACCAAAGGAGAGAGAGATGCACGCAGGAGAATTATGTTAAGGTCCCTAAATTAATTTTCAAAATACCTTGATCTGAGTAGTCTACATGTGATTTCACTAAAAGGAGTGGATTTAATATAAAAGCAAAAACTCCAGATATGTTGTTATATTGAAAGCAGATATACTATTAAAATGATGTAAGAAAAACATTGTATTTCTAAAGAGAAAGACAGATTCTTTATATTGGAAACTGGGAAGAAAGTATTTCTTTAATGGACTTAGTGCTGTAGAAATGGTAACTTCCTTGAGCTAGAACTGCAGGTCAAACCCTGTGACTGGATGTATATAATTTTTTTCTTTGAAAAATTTCCTAACCTTTTCATTTTCAAACTGTATCTGAAATCAAGGAATAAAAGTACAAATAAAAATAAAAAGGTATTCTCCCATGTATAGAAATGGGATTTAATTACAAAGGAAATCTTTAAATATAAGGTTTTCCTTTGAGAGTTGAGTATTTTGAAATAAATTGAGTCTTCAGACAAAATAATTGAAAGTTTATTTTAATATTGATGCTAAAACAATACTATGTCCAAGAATTAGAAGAAAAAGTGACTTGTCTGTTGTTGCTTGCAGTTTTGACAAGAAGGAATTATTTAGGATGACTTCAATTTTAGAAACTTCTCAGGGCCATGGTATTTTTACAATAGAATTTTAAATTAATATATCTTGATGATATTTTCCTGAGAACACATTCTGATCCATGAATAGAGAACAGGACAGAACCCAGACTCCTAGGAATTCAGAGAAAAGCTGAAGAGTTTCCTAAATATCAGCAGTGAACAGTCTTCCCCCTCATATGTTCTCAGAATATACCATCTATAGTCTTACTGTAGCTCTCATTCCACAGTATATTTCGTGATTGTCTGTATATCTGCTTTCAATCAATTAAGGTAGGAAGGGGTGTTCCTAATCACTTTATCACCACACCTCCCCTAGTGCATAGAATTGGAAATATAGCAAATAATTGACAACTATTAACTGAATCAATAAAGTATATAGTTTGCATTAGTTATATTTTGATGATAAAAGTCCCTGTCCAAAGTCTACAAGTCAATAATCAATACAGTATCATAAAAACTAAAAAAATAATTTTTTAAAAAGATTTATTTATTTATGCATACAGAACTGGGGTACAGGCCAGAGGTGCTGGGGCAGTGAGAGGATTCATCAGAGACAGAGTGGGGAGCAGAACAGGCCAACTGAAGAAGTACACTGCTGAGGGGAGCCATGGGCGGGTCAGGAGAGGCCTGTCGTGCCATGAGGATCACCTCCAGGGCAGGTATCTAATTCGTGCTGAAATGGTTTTAGCTTCTTAGTGCTGCGCCACCAGGGAGGACCCAGAAAATTAATTTTAAGATTGATATTTATTTCCCTTTAAGCTCTTCTAATGTTCACATGTGTGGGTATAACATGATAAAAATTAATTACATCTAAAGTCTATATAAAGTCAGAACACACTTATGACAGCAAACAAGGGGACTTTATATTAAGGAAATTTATACTAATAGTATAATAAAACAATATATTTATATTTATGTTAAGGCAGGAGTTGGTTTCTCTCTATACCCTTAGTGTTCATGCATATGTGTTTGATTTCAGCCACAGGGAAATTAGAGTATCCAGGTGTTTGTTTTCCATGATTGTAGATAGCATCCAAAATTATTGGATATTTTATCCATTTACTCAAGTAATGAAGTAATGCAATTACTAACAATCCCCCCTTTAGTATCATTATGAGAAAACTGAATTCTCAGAACACTAATTTAAATAATATTAAGTTTAATTTTTGTACATTTTTTCAAGACATTTAGAAACTCAGCAAAAGATCTGAAAGTTGATATTTAAATACACTTTCTGATAGAAGACTCCCCAGGGGAAAAAATCAACTCAGTATGATAGAATGTCTATTTAAAAATCTACTGTGGGTGAAATTTGATTTATTTAATAATCCTCTACATAGTAAGTGGTAATACTATAGCTATAATCAAGAAATATTGAGCCATAAAATTCTTATTTCCTCATGTTAACATTAACTTTTGTAATAGACTATCAATGGTATGCATTCATTTTGTTAATAAAAAAGGTTAAGGATAATATACAATAACAAGAAAAAATGCACTTTTAAAATCAATAGGATCTTTAAACAGTGTTCCTTTCCTTCTCTCAGGCTTTCAAAACCAGGGCAAAGGTTTACCAGGCAGTCTTCATTCTCAGCCTAGTTTCCTTGAATGCCAAATGTCTTATGTCTTGAATGCCTATTAACTGATAGCTCCTGCTGTGCATGAGTAGGAAATGAAAGTTCAATTAATTTTTTTAGGTAAAATAAACGACTTAGGAAAATAAGTTTTGCAAATTGCAGAATTCATTCCAAAATGTACATGCAGGTTTGTGTATATGTATTGCATCATAGCATCATAAATGATTTGTTGAAATCAACATCTACTTCCATGATAGAGTATAACTCAATATAAATTACTTCAAAACATGATAAAATGAAATCTTTGTGCACAATCATATAATGAAACTAAAGCTCCAGATAAACAGGAACATGGAGCTTCATATGGAATTCACTGAAAAGTTCTATGACGGGTCCACAGTTTCTTCATAGCTGTTTTCATCTCCTTATTTCTCAATGTGTAGATGAGGGGGTTCAAAAGTGGAGTGAAAATGGTGTAAAACACAGAGAGGAGCTTGTCCACAGAAAACCGACTAAAAGGCCACACATAAATGAAGATGCAAGGCCCAAAGAACAGTGTGACCACCATGATATGTGCAGAGCAAGTAGAGAGTGCTTTGGATACTGCACCAGAGGCCCGCTGACGGACAGTGATGAGGATGGTAGTGTAGGAGGTGAGCAGGAGCAGAAAACAGCTCATGGAGAGCAACCCACTGTCTGAGATCATAAGTATACCCAAGACGTAGGTGTCCATGCAGGCAAGCTTGATCACAAGAGGAAGATCACAGAAGAAACTATTTACCTCATTGGGGCCACAGTAAGGTAAATTCACAGTGAAGGCTACCTGACTGATGGAATGCACAAATCCAATAGTCCACGATACCAGCACCAGCACGATGCAAGTCTGCCTGCTCATCATGGACATATAATGCAAGGGTTTGCAAATGGCCACATATCTGTCATAGGCCATGGAAACCAGAAGTACCATCTCAGCCCCACCAACAAAGTGCAAGAAGAAGATTTGAGCCATATATCCTCCAAATGAGATGAGCTTTCGATCACTAAGAAAATCCCTGATCATCTTGGGAGTGGCAAATGAGGCCAGCCATATGTCCAGAAAAGATAAATTTCCCAGCAGAAAGTACATAGGGGAAGAGTTCAAGGAGGGGTTAAAAATGACAGTGACCACAATGATGACATTACCCAGCACAATGGTCACATATATCCCAGAGAAGAACACAAAGAGAACATTTTGGAGATGACGGGAAGTGCAGAGTCCTTGCAAAACAAATTCTGACACCAAGGAATAATTTTGCAGTTCCATTACCTCAGGTTTCAGATTTATTCTGAATCTATATAAAGAAAAGAGATATAAGTGAAAGTGTCTGTCAACTTCCAGCCATAAGAATGTGATCAGCTAGTGTTATCTCAACATAATTTTTCACTTGTAGGAGATAATCTAAAATGCACTATATGTTCATACCAACAAGTGTACTTACCCTTATCAAATTTCACTGTTTCCGTAAGAGCAGTTGGACATCCTGAGACTCTAGAATGTGTGAGAGTTATAGGAACAACCCCAGCCTCTTCTAACCTTTGCCCAGGGCAAATGTAAAACCAATCATATAAAAATTATGAAACACAAATCCTTAAAAAGATTAAGAATGTGAAGATTTTCTGGGTGGTATTATTCTCTCTCCATCTGTGTTAGTGTTGTTGCTCTTGGTTAATTGCTTTTAAGAATCAGAACTAAGAATTAAAATTAAGGCTTAATTTAAAAAGCAATGTCATCATGAAATGCAAAGACAACTGTACAGATGTTATTAAGTCTTTATTTCTCTGCTCTCCATTTATTCAAAGAAACACAAAATAAACTCTAGCAGAGACATTTTGGTGGGGACTATACCTACATAGCTAAGTCAAGCATTTTTCTGTCTTAAAGAAAAGCATAGTAAATTTCACTTCTTTAATGGCAAAGTTAAAAGGAGTAAGATTTTTTAAGCTAAAAAAAACATGTTCTGGGTTTAAACATGTTTGGGATGATGTATAAGTATACACAGCTACAGTAATTCTGGAGGAGTGACATGGTGAGATACGCAAACCACATAACAGCATCTCTTACACCCTCAGATCCTGCCTTTTAGGAAAATGTGATCTAGACATAATTAGCAAATTTACAGAACACAAATTTGACAGAGTTCACAAAAATATTTGAAAAATCTGGAGATAGGTCCAATTAAGCAAATTCCATATACACACAAGAAGTGAGAAAAGAATGTAGATCATTATTTACCATCATAACAGGGATACAGATTGGTATATTATTAACATATTTCTTTATAACGGATGTGCTTTTTATGTGTCATAATTATGAAAATATATATTTATTTCATAATTGAAAGGAAGGAAAATATTCTGAAGTAAAAAAAGTCACAAGGTATAATATGTTGCAGTACTTATAACTAAATGAATCATAAAGATCTTGTTCAGAATAATCCTATATTATTCTCCAATTAATGTTCAATTCAGTCTGTTGCTAAGGTGCAACAGAGTTGGGATTTCTTTCACTCTAAGACTGCTTGGGGTTTCTTCATTTTTTAAACCCACTTTAGGAAGGGGGCAAGGGTCACCTTAGATTGGTGGAGGAAAATGGATGCTTTGGTGGTGGGTGTGATGTGTCTATTACATCAGAAGAGGTGGGAGCTTATGTTTTGAATTATGCAAAGTATATTCAACCAATGTTCCTTTTATTAAAATTACTTAAGAAACAAAAGTATAAACCCAATATATTAATGAAATCTACCTATCATAAAATCCACCCATTTTAGTGAATTTACTGAGTGGTACAACTGTCTTCATATGGTTGATTGGATCTTGACAACCTCAATTCCTTCCAGGATGCCTCCTGGTAAGCGACATGAACCATTCTCCCTGGTTACTCATTTGCTCACTCACACATGTATTCATTCAGACCACATAGAACACCAACAGAGCTTTTTACCTCACAACTCAATATAGAAACCAATCAATATAAAAGGAAGTTAATACATTTCCCCCAATCTCACAATTTTTTATTACAGTTCTTTGCTTTTTTAGTCAATTGTGTGTGAGATAAAAAAAAAATCAATGATAATATTTATTGTTTACAATAAAGCTGACTACTTTTGAAAGGAATTTAGGTTGGTTTTAGATAAAAGATATTCTTGAAGATATTTCAACAAAATCCAGACCATAAAATCTATGCAGTAAACTTTGGATGGGGCTTATATAAAAATTACATATAAGTGACCAAAAAGTTCAACAGTTGATTAAAATGTAGCTCTAAGCTTCCAGAAGTAGGGTGGAAGATATAGGACCCATTATTCCTTTGTCATGAGTATCAGCTACCTCACTAAGGAAAATATTGTACAAAGGTCTTTAAAGGCATTGAACCAAATTCTTCATGAAAAATTCCATAAAAGATGTAGAACTGCTCTTCATATCTGCTTTTATTATGCTGACCTTTTCAAAATTAAATAATATATATTAAAATGATAGTTTTGCAAAATTTCTAAAAGGCACTAGAATAACATATTCTTGATCTGAAATACTCTAATGCTATTAACATCAGAGAGTGAGAGAACATAAATATAGGAATTAGTGGTTATTAAATGTGTTTAAGGCACCCACTTCCATCAGGTTTTTGTCAGGATAATAAGGGCTCAAAACTCCATTTTTCCCCCCCTGAACTTTTATAAATGAATTGTATTGAAAAGATTTTATTGCACTGACTTTTTGGTAATACATGCCAACTCCGTTTAGACTGGAATAATAAATCAGATGATAAATGGCTTTGCAGACACGATGGATTTAATCACAGCTCAGGAACTCTTCACAAGTTTACTTAGATTATCCTAACACCAATCTTTGTGCATATAAAGCAGACCATAAGAGTTGAAATTTTATTGGCATAGTCCCCTCCTTACGGTCATGAAAAATTTCACACATTAACTTGAAATGGCGTTTTAGTGTTTTGTAATATAAAATTATCAAGTGGAAAACTCAGGAAAATAAAAAAACTTTTGCCATTGAATCAAAGACGTTCTAAAATTAGATATTGGTGATAGGTGCCCAATGCTCTGAATATACTAAAAACCATTGAATTGCAGACTTAAAAATGAGTAAACTTTATGGTATATAAACTACATTTCAATATATTTCTTTTAAAAATGGATGTTCAAAGAAATGGAATGAAATAGATTCAGTTCAAATTTCAGAGAACTTTTTATGATTTGCAAAGACTTTTTAAAGATTAACAAACTAAATTTACAATCAGAAAAAATTAGGTTGATTTTTATACCTATACATGCTCCTTTAATAAGTATTATGAAAATTTAATTTTAACTGACAAGTTAATATGATTTAATATACAAAATAAAAAAGTCTTGACTTGTATCTTCAGGTGCACAGTCATTAAAAAAATAAACATCAAAGGCTCTTTACTAACCTGGAATTAGTTGCTCTGTGCTTACTCTGCAGATTCTTTGGTATTCCAGTCTACCATACTTGGTTGCAACTTTTGAAAAGATGCATATTTTTATTCCAAAGATGATTCAGTCATTCTTTTCTCCTGTTTCCTAAAAATGATTAAGAAAAATCACATTTCGATTTTTCTTGGAGTTCATATATAAATACCTATATCCTCTCTTCTTTCAAATTAAAAAATCTCTTAAAGATGGATCATTTATGCCCAAGTAACATGGAGGCTGGGGAATAAAACATCTTAGGTTGGAAGTTTGTTTTAATGACTCATGTTCATTTTCCCAAGTGACAAGGATGAAAAAATTTAAAGACCTATCACATTATAAGTAGAACTATGCTTTAATTCAAGGAGGGTAATATATAATTATGATCATAATAAATATTATGATCCAGTTAATGAAGTGCAAAGTGTACTTTTCCTTTAAAGAGTCAAACTCAGAAGCTGCATTCTAAAACATATTTTGAGAATCTGCCAAGCCTATACATTATATTATCTGACATTGATTACTTAATAACATTTGGAGAAAACTAATTTCTACAAGGAGCCCCAGGGTGACCTATGTCAAAATATTTACTTTCTTCAGATTCATCTTGTTACGTATAATGAGATCTCTAGGAATCTGAGTTACTTTGCACATCATTTATAATTATTATCCCACTTACTTCCAAATATTTAAATTCAATGCCTTGCTTATATAATTATAAATATCCTAGAATGTGCTGATGAGTAATTATCACATTTACAACCCTTCATCAAACACTGACATTCAATTCAATATAAGATGTATAAACATAACCAAAATTATAAGAATTTTATTGCCAAGATAACATCCCAGTGTAGTAAAATGTTTCAGGTTCTTCCCTGACACTAGATAATTGTTTTTTATGTAAAAGAAATATGTTTCTGTATTTAAAATACACAGATAGCAATTGATAAAGAACAATGATGCTTGCTGGGCTGCAATCATCAGTATCACTTGTTTCTGAAAGGCAGTCTATCTGTAGGTGCAGACACATCATGTAAAGGCAAGAATTGAGAGCGGCTGTGATAGCCCTCAGAGGTAAATACTTGATTTGAAGGGAGGGGCGTATTTACTAAGTGTGTTGGTTAATTTGATGTCAATGTGCAGGGGTTTTGGGATTAAAGCAACATTTGGACTGATGAGCTGTGTAAGTCAAGCAGATGTCTCTCTATACTGTGAGAGGACCTCAGATGAACACGCGAATAGAATGAAAAGACCAGCCTTCCTAAACAAGAAGCAACTCTCCACTAGACTGGCTTCGGACTTTATCTGAAGATATGAGTGCTCTTACAACTGATTGAAGTGTGCTGGCTACCCTGCAGATCTTGGCCCTCCCAGTCATAAAAATCACATGAGCCATTCCTATAATCAAACTCCACTCACTCTCTCAACTCTCCTATGCTCTTTCTTTCCATCCCTCCCGACTTTGACTAATACACTAAATATAAAGCCCACAATGATTCAAAAACATAAGCTCCCAGTCCACAATGATTCAAAAACAAAAGCTCCCACCTTTTCTTGTGTATTAGACCATATCACACCCACCACCAAAGCATCTATTGCCTTCCATCAATTCATGGAGATCCTTGCCCCCTCCCAAGCAGTCTTAAAGTATAAGAAATCCCAACTCTGTTGCTCCTTAGGAAACGGTATCTTGAAGTGAACATTAATTGGAGAATAAGATATGATTATTCTGAACAAAATGTTCTCTGTGATTCCTTTAATTTTAAGTATTATAAAATTATATCATGTGATTTATTTGAGAATTTTTTCCTTCTTT